ATAGTGGTTCGTTAGGATCTACGTGAGAGTTGAACAAAGATTTGCAAAATGGTAGAGAAACGGTCTCTTCGACAGATTTTTGTTGCAAAACAAGCGGTGGACAGAGCAGAAGACTTCATTGCACGATGGTTGGCAGGTCCTTCTCGATAGTTGTTTTATGTAAAAGTTGTCTTCAATAATTTCCAAATAATTGTGGTTTAATGTCTTAACCCTCTTCTGCCGTCTCTTTTTCTTATTCCATTGTATTTTGGCTTTTTCTTTTTGTTGTACTTGGATTTATCCTCGCATTTGGCGGGGTTATAAGAAACTTAGATTAAATTAATTTAAACATTTAATATTATGATGATTGATTTATAATATACTTTATATTTAAGTTATTTATTTATTTTTACATATTCTTCCAACTAAACCTTTCATTTCAAATATTAAAAAAACAATATGTACTTGTAATTTTCATTTGAATATGACTTGCTTTCCACGGTATGCGAAGACTCTTGACGCGGACTTGGGTAGAATTTGCTTTTATTGATTAAGCAAACAAAACAGTTTAAATGTTATCCCGTAGTTTAAATTATAATTAAAGTTTATAACCACAATCGTAAATTAAACACATAATAAAAATATTTTATTAAACACAAGAAAACTAGTCACTTAAGATCACACAATGACCATACAAGGAAAAATTAAAAAATCTAACCAAATAAACTCGAACAAAAGGAAAATACTAACAGATCTGACCACATCGACAAACGAATCACAAAAGTGAATAAAGCTATTAAAAGACCATCGACAAACAACAAATCAAAATCGAGCGATGTGAAAATGCTATCCACAAACACAAATCGTATATCCAAATTCAATTTCATGGTCCAAAGTAGGGAAGATCATCATGATAAAAAATAAGCGTCATCTTGATCAGTTGTGATGATGTCATATCCAACCCTGAAAAAAGAAAAAAGAAAACAACGGCCAAACAACATAAAACATGACATAGAGGCAGAGAAAAACATGCCATAATGGTAGAAGAATACGTGCCAAAAAGGCAAAATTATTAAGAATAAAACAAAAGAAATTAAAAAGGCAAAGGTAAAATAATGAATAATGATGGTCGACACCCAGTATCAAGATTAGTGTCACCGGCCGATCAAAAAGATGAAGAAGAAAAGAGACTACAACGACTGACGGTTAAGGAAAAGATAGAAAAAGAGAAAATCGGTTTCAAGTTAGATTATTTATGGTCAAATTCAATTTATAATTTTAATTGAGATTTTCTTGGAACGAATTGAAAATAATAAAAGTATATATTAAAAAATCATAAACAATTCGTATTGCATATTAAAGTATTTAAATCTAATTCTTGTAATAATTTAAATATTCAAATTACTCAAATAATACGTTAAGAATCAAGGTTTGCAGTACATGGTTTGAATAATTGGAATAACAAAATTAAAATTAAAATGGTAAGTTACATACGACATGAAGTAGAAAACAATAGAGAGAAAAAATCATTGAATCGTGACATATGAGTCCAGACATGAAGTCTTAAAAGAGTATATCATTTCTACTCTTCAACTCGAGACTAAGTCTTAAATTTTAGGCCTTCCATTATGTGTCGTGTATTGTGGTTGGTGCCTTCTTATCCAAATTATGACTCAAAGGATACCTTGCCTAAATCCATCTTATTTAAAGACAGTGAACTGAAGCATTAAACCCAGTTGTTTCTCTCTTCATGATTTGCATTATACCCACACCCAACCTTATGGCAAACACTCCCTTCCTCCCTCCTCTTATGTTTCTACTGCTATTTGCAACCTTTAGTGCTACTTTCTCCGCCAACATCACCACCGATCAATCTGCCCTTTTAGCCTTAAAATCCCATATCACTCATGATCCCCACAACTTCCTAGCAACCAACTGGTCCACTTCTACCTCTGTTTGCAATTGGATTGGTGTCACTTGTGGATCCAGACACCACAGATTTTGCTCTAAATTTATCAAGTATGGATCTCACAGGCACCATCCCATCTCAATTGGGAAATTTATCTTTCCTTGCCTCCCTCAGCATTCGTAACAATAGTTTTCATGGCTCTTTACCTATTGAGTTAACTAATTTGCATCGTTTGAAATATTTGAACTTTGGTAACAACAGCTTCAGTGGAGAAATCCCATCATGGTTTGGTTCCTTTACTAAACTTCAAGACTTGCTTTTGTACATGAACAACTTCACTGGTGTTATCCCGTCCACTCTTGGCAATTTGTCAAAACTTGAAAGGTTAATCTTATACATCAACAATCTCCAAGGGCAAATCCCCATGATTCTGGGAAACCTTTCAAACTTGGAAAGGTTATTTCTGGATTATAATTCTCTTTCAGGTCCCATAGTTTTCTCAATCTTGAATTTATTTTCACTAGTATAAAGTTTATTTTATAACTAATGTTATCATTGCAGGCCATCTACTCTAACTTGAACAATTCCAATTTTTTTCTTCATTTTTTGTTGTCTAATTTTTATATACAATTGAACCATCAACCAATTAATATCAAATTAGGGCAGACTAAATGAATAAGTCATAACCTACATATTGAAATAAGTTGTTAGTCTTCTCTGAATCAAATACCTTGGAACTATTTTTATATTTCTGTAGTTTTTAATTTTTTAGTCTCTTAATATAGTAATACTTTTGGCTATGAAAAAATAAATTAGTTTCACATTTCAGACTTCTAACTACTTGAATCTGATGCTTAAAAAACTGTATGTAATATTGTCATGTTTAGTTCTTGATTTATTTATTTTTTTGTATGCTTCAGTTTGTTTTAGACTTGATACTTCCAACTATTTGGAGCTTTCATAAGTAGTAAAATAATTTAATAAAATTTAATTTTTTTTTAAAAAAGAAAAGAAATGCAAAACATATACCTATAGCTCCCAACAAAAAATAAGGATATTCTATAAAAAATATTAATAATTTTTGAAAAATTTAATTATATTTGTTTAGATAAAATTTCATCAGATATTGAAAACCTGACCTCTCTCACATACATAATTATTTTCTAATAATGATTTTTTTGATAAATATATTTTTGGATTGAATAATTTCAAATATTTGCAACTTTCATAAGTAGTGAAATATACTGAATAAAATTTTCAAGTTTAAAAAATAAGGAAAGAAATGGAGAACAAATGCCTCTAGTTCTCAACATAAAAATTAAGGTTTTGTTAGAAAATATATTATTTTTTGATCAATTTACTTATATGTTTAATGCAAAATTTCATTAGTTATTATAAACTTTACTTATCTTGAGAATAATAGTCTTTCTTTTAACAACTTGAAAGATATATTATCATCTTTTTTGAGATTTTATATCTTTATCGATATTGAAACTAACAATCTTACTGTAGGTCATCTAGAGTCGGGAATACTTGATAACCTTTCTAAATTACAAGTATTAAGCTTGGAAGGAAACCAGATTTCTGGTAGCATTCCCAATAGTTTATACAAGTGCAAAGAGTTAAAGGTTGGACTGATTATTTATTGTGCAGGTCTTATTCCTTGGTCAATCTTCAACATTTCCTCTTTGCAAGTTATTTCTTTGGGGATCCAACAATCTATTTGGTTCTCTCTCCTCCAATGTGTTCGATTATCTTCCTCGATTACGTTATCTTGAATTGGATAGCTGTCAACTTTCTGGAAGAATTCCAATGAGTTTATTCAAATGCAAAGAGTTAGAATATATATACTTGGATAATAATCATTTACAGGGAACTGTGCCATTAGAAATCTCAAATTTAACTTCACTTCAAATTTTCACCATTGAAGGAAACAACTTTTCAGGTAACTTAAATGACTCATCCTACTTTAATAATGTATTTAAACATAAAAGATATATTTCCATTGAATTTTTTTAATTATATTGTCTTAATTTATTTTCTTAATATAGTAATATTCTTGGCTCAGAAGAAAATAATACATCTTTTAACTTTTTATTAGGCCAAACTTGTGCAACATATATAATGTCTTGAATTGATGAAAATAATAAAACGCATTCATGTCTTGTAATCGGATGTGGAGATCACTAAACCAATTGTACATATTTCTTAAGTCATATTATTTAATATGAGACAAATAGAGTATACAAGTTCTAGTTCAAAATTACCTAAATTCTAAAAATATAAACATAAAGATACTCAATCACACTACTGTAGACATAATATAAACATAAAGATACTCAATCACATTACTACAGACATAATATACTTAGTTCGTCAAATTATTTTTGACAAATTTAATTTTACATTTCAGATACAATTCCATCGGTTATCGGAAATATAATTTCTCTAGAAATTATTGATTTTTCAAAAAACAACTTGACAGGTATAATATAACTTTCCTTCCTCTTTTTGTTGTTATTTTGTTATATATTTATTAATTAGCTATAAGAATTTTTGTCATTTGACGTGTCCTTTTGTAATCAAACATAAGTCATTTAAATATTAAAACTCAGATAAATCCATTCTAAAATGATTTAAATTTAAAATATCTTATTTTTTCAACTCGAAATGCACTAAACCAAACTTCCTTGATTTTTCCAAAATTTGGTAATTTGTTGCATGTCATGTGATATCCAAGTGAATTTTTCAAAAATATATTTGCTGATTCTCTAGCAAAAATGATATTTGTTTTACATTCCTAACTGTTGGAAAGTGTACTGATTTGCAATTGTCATCTTTTTGTTTAATGAGAAGAATATTTAAAATCATTTTAAAAACAGTTATATATTTTACTACAATTCAGGCTCCATAAATGGTATTGTAAGAAAATGCCGGATGTTGTTAAGTAAATTAATAAACATTTTTTATTTGTTTTAAAGATTATTCAAACTTCTGATTCAAACTCTATTTCATATTTTATGCAAGGCCAAATTCCTTCCTCAATATGCAATTTGAGTTCCCTTGTGGCTCTCATTTTATGGAATAATGGTTTGGATGGGACAATTCCGGAATGCATTGGAACTTGAGTTCTTCTCTTTCATACCTTGACCTACGAATGAATAATTTTCATGGTAAAATACCTGAGAATTTTGCTGAAGGTTGCAGCTTAAAAAGTTTTCTAATCAGCAACAACCAAGTCGAAGGGTCACTACCACGATCTTTGGGTAATTGTAAAGATTTGAATCTTCTTGATGTTGGGAACAACTATTTAAATGACACTTTCCCAAATTGGTTAGGAAATTTGGATCAGTTACAAGTGCTTGACTTGAGATCGAACAAATTCTATGGTAAGGTGGATAGCTCTGATGTTACCTTCACTTGTTTGCGTGTCATTGATCTCTCTCGTAATAACTTCAGTGGCTACCTACCTGTAAATTTTTTTGAAAATTTGCATGCCATTAGAGAAGGGAATGAAAAGAAATATAAACCAGAATACATGGAAGAGGTAACAGCTGGTGGAGCAACATATATTGTGCTAGGTTTATCTTTTACAATGAAAGGATTGGAAACAGAGTTTGAGTACCTATTAACCATTTGGATGGCAATAGACTTCTCCAGCAACCAATTCATAGGAGAAATTCCTAAAACAATTGGAGAGCTTCATTCACTAATTGTCCTAAATCTCTCTCATAATTGTTTAACAGGTCCTATCCCAACATCATTAGGTGATTTGTCAGAACTTGAATCATTAGATCTCTCATCAAACAAGCTCCATGGAAGAATTCCAACAGAGTTTACAAATCTTGGATTCCTAGAGGTGTTAAACCTTTCTCATAATAATCTCGTGGGACCCATTCCTCAAGGAAAACAGTTGGAGACTTTCAGTAATGATTCCTACATAGGAAACTTGGGTTTATGTGGATTGCCATTATCAAAAAGTTGTGATAATGATGAGGGAACTCCAGCCAAATTTGATAGAGATGATGATGATGATGGATTGAATTGGAAATTTTCTATACTGATGGGGTATGGATGTGGGTTGGTGTTGGGATTGAGCATGGGATACATTGTATTCGCAACTGGAAAACCATGGTGGTTCATTAAGATCTACGTGAGAGTTCAAAAAAGAATTGCAAAAAAATAAACAAGAGAACTCTTTGACGGATTTTTATTGCAGACCGAGAAGTGGAGAGAGCAGAAAACTTCATTTGCATGGTGGTAGGCAGGCCCTTTTCTATAGCTGTTTTATATCTATTGCTGCGTGGGTGCTTTTTTGTATGTATTATGTTTTCCTGCACACTCTCCTATAGCAGCGTTCTCTTGAGTATATCCACCTTGTAATAACTATCTTAATCGTCATTTTCTGGGTGTTTCACTTTCGTTTTAATAAATTTATAGTGGGTTAATTTCTTTCAAAGATAGAGTTTGGCAAGAATCAAGGTAGGTAATAAGAATTGAAACAGAGGGATGCCTGTGGTGGCTCCAACGAATGGATTGACAATGATAAAATGTTGGTCTTCTGCAGAACATATCTAATAATATTGAAACAGAAGCAATTAGACTAAAGTTTCAAAACTTAATAATTTAATGTTAAGATAACAATTTCCTTGTTCAAAAATCTATATCGACTACTTTGTTAATAAAATAAATTTCTTTGTGGTAGAACCTTTCTGAGTAAATTGTTCGATTGATAATTAAGGTTGTGGGAGATCAGTTTATTCTTGTCTTAAGAAAGACGAGTTCCATGGCCGATCACCTTGAAAAAGCGGGTCTAAGTAAAAATGAATTATTCAAGGCGGGGTAGTAATGATAAGTGTTTAGGTTTTTGGTTCATTTGGGGCTGCTTAAATATGTGTTTTTATTGAGGTTAGTGAGCAGCAGGTTGATTTAAAGTAAGATGGTATATTGATTTAAAGTACGATGATACATTCTGCTTGTGATGCATTGGATTCCCTTGTATTTAGTTTTGACCTGGTTGGGTGTATTCTTTTCCATCATTTAAATTTAGGAAGTTTTTTAAGTTCAGGCGTATATGGTTTTTAATAAAATCTTTTGCCGAACAAAAAAAATTCTTTGAGTTTACTATCAGTATTTGACTGAAAGATTGTTAATATTTACACTTTATCTACACTTAAATATGATCTCCCGTTGAGATTTTAATTTCGTAATTTTGTCAAGAGTTGTCGGACAATTTTTGTACGCTTAATGATCTCTAAGTTTATAATGGGTTAATGTTCTTATTCGTAAAAGTAGACAAAGTCAAACAACATTAAATCTCGTTTCTTACGTATATCATATTTTACATTGATATCGTTTTGCGCATATTTTTGCATGCATGCAACTATAGAAAATGTCATAGTTGATGTTTATTGATCTAATATATTTTAGTTTTATATTTTACAGAGCTAATAAATTAAATTAATTTAAACATTTAATATTATGATGATTGATTTATAATATATTTTATATTTAAATTATTTATTTATTTTTACATATTCTCCCAACTAAACCTTTCATTTCAAATATTAAAAAATAACAACATATCACCATTTAAAAAACAATATGTACTTGTAATTTTCATTTGAATATGACTTGGTTTCCACCGTATGCGAAGACTCTTGAGGTGGACTTGGTTAGAATTTGCTTTTATTGATTCAGCAAACAAAACGATTTAAATGTTATCTGGTAGCTTGTTTATTTAGTAAAATCGGGTTATAAGTTTTTTTCCATGGAAACCCCAAATTTTATTAAAAATAGAAAATATCTAAATTACAGTAAAATTTTACAATCGCAATTTTAAATTAAACGTATAATAAGAATATTTTCCTAAACACAAGAAAACTAGCCACTTAAGATCACACAAGGACCATAAAAAGAAAAGGTTAAAAAACATAACCAAATAAACTCGAACAAAGGAAAATACTAACAGATCTAACCGCATCAGCAAACGAACCACAAAAGGGAATAAAACTATTGAAAGACCATCGACAAATCGTAAATCAAATTCGAGCGATGTGAAAATGCTATCCACAAACACAAATGTGACACCCCAAATGCTATCCACAAACACAAATGTGACACCCCAAAATTGGGCCTAAAATTTTTCAAGGAATAAATTTTTATAAATTCGGGACCAAAGTGAAATTTTGGATTAATATTAGATTCAAATACAAAGTAAATAAATATGAAGGACCTATGGCATAATTTTTCTATTTTTCTTTTCATGGGTTAATATAACCCTAAATATGGGGGAAAGCTAAACACATTCTCTCCATCATAATTTCATTTATAGGAGGAATCTTTCATCGTCAATCTGTCACTGATCGTTGCTCCGTTTTTGACACCTCTCGCACTATCATGTTCCTTGCATCGTCCCGAGTCCATCGGTTTCCTTCTTATCTTCGTTGTCGTCGGCGTGTGAAGGGGTAAGGAATATCAAGTTTCCGATGATTCGGAATCGAGCTCTCCGCCGTTCAAAATTGTGAACCGCGTGGTGGGCAGCTTTGAAACCCGTTGACCCGACCCGAACCGTTGACCCGACCCGTATCCGACCTGACCTGACCTGATTCGGCCCGGTCCAATGTTGACCGTTGACCGATCGCTGACCGTTGACTTTGACCAAAAAAGTCAAAATTTTTAAAAAGTCATATTTTATGTTTTTCGACGTCCTGAGTCCGATTCCGAAGTTCGTTTTGTCACATTCTGACCCGAAAACCCCGAATTGAGCTCGTCAACCCAAAAATACTTAGTATTTTTTTAGCATTTTTGCTTATATATTTGAGATGTGGTTATGGAATTGATCCAATAAGATATTTTTATGAAGGTACTCATGTTTCACCTGAACGAGGGTCAGTTAGGTATGGTGTTTTCCGTTCGTCATATCCGCCCAATCCGCGTTCTACGATAATTACCCGTAGGTTTCCGTAAATTATTTAAATAAATGTTAAAATTATTCATATTAGGATTCCGATATGGATTTTTCCGATTCATAGGATCTAGCGCTGCCGCTGATCGTGATCAACAGACTCAGTAGTAGGCTTCTCTATCCGATTTCTTAGATTGTTACAGGTGTGTTTCATGACGGTGCTACCTAACAGTGTTAAACTATCTATCTGAATATTGTTTATTTGATACCTGATTTACTACATGCTTCTGATATGAATTTTGGTTACTGTATTTTTATACTGATTTCTAAATATTGCTTATCTGAAATCTGATTTACCGTATATTACTGATTTGATTTCTAATCTCTGTATTTCTGTATATGATTTACAAGCTTGAAACATTTTCATGTTTTAATGGATTAATCACCATTTTCATTTGAATACATTCATGTTTATTACTATCATTGGGGGGTATTGTTGGAGGAAATATATCTGCAGGCTCCTCGGCTTTGTGCTCAGGGCCTTACTGGTTGTGTGGGTTGGGTGTATGGTTCTGGGAAACCTACACGTTCAGATTGTGAAAGGATGGGGGTAGTGTTCATGTTTTTAAAACATGTTACATAAACCGATTTTATTGAAATATTTTATCAGATGTTTTTATACACTGTATGGAGCACACTGGGCTTTTTGGCTCATTATGTAAATTTTAGCCTTTTCAGATAACAACAGACTGTAAATTAGTATACTTGGCATCAGAGGAGATCGACTAGTTTTACTTTTGTACGACTGTATATCTCTATTTGCCTTTCAGTTGTATTTGGTGACATGTGTTTTGCTACCGTTTTGGATATATTTGTATTATCGATATTTTATTCTGTAAATGTTTTATACGGGTTTCTGTGGTATTTTGATATGTATATGTTTTATACAGGTTTTAGATATATATTTATACATATATTTTTTAAATATAAAAAGAATCTCTTAATGCGATATGTGACCGCCTTGGTCTGGGCCTAACATTCAGGCCGGGTCTAGGGGGTTACACTTGGTGGTATCAGAGCTTTCAGTTTTAAACAATTGGACTGTGGATGAGTTATAAACTCAGGATTTTTAAGAAATTTTGATATTTTCAAAATCGAGCGATGTGAAAATGCTATCCACAAACACAAATCATATATCCGAATTCAATTTGATAGTCCAAAGTAGGAAAGATAATCATGATAACAAATAAGCATCATCTTGAAAAAGTTGTGATGATGTCAAATCCAACCCTAAAAAAAAAAAAGAGAAAACAACAACCAAACAACTAAAAACATGCCATAGAGACATAAAAATGTGTCATAAAGGCAGAAGAACACGTGCCAAAAAGGTAAAATTATTAAGAATAAAAAAAAGAAATTAAAAACAAAGATATGCTATAATAAGGAAAAGAAAAAATATTGAATACCGACGGTCGACAACCAGTACCAAGACTGGTGTTGCCGCTGATCACAAATATGAAGAAGAAAAGAGAATAATGACGGCTAAGGAAAAAGATAGAAAAAGAGAAAATCAGTTTAAAGTTAAATTATTTAGGAACAAATTCAATTTATAATTTGAATTGAAATTTTCTTGGAACTAATTGAAAATAATAAAAGTATATATTAAAAAAATCATAAACTATTTTAATTGCATATTAAAGTATTCGATCACATTATCAGTCGCCAGCCTGTATTTCCTTGATAACAACCCAAAGCCACCACCGGCAATATGGCCACCAGCCCCGACTGTCGGACAAGACTCCGCCGAGAATCCATGAACGGCACTTGACTCGACAATGGCATGGTACGTCTCACCTAGCGTCACACCGCCTTCCGCCCATGCCATCTCCGTCACCATATCCACCTAAACACAGTTCACGTTCATCATGTCTATAATAATGAATGGAGCTCTGTCGCTAGCCACCCGTGAAGTACCCTCGTAGTTATGGCCGCCGTACCGCACTCTAATCTCCCACGACCCTTGTAAACAACACAACACACTACTGATAAGTTGCTCTTAACTCTCCGGTAAGATAATAGCCACCTACTTCAAAATCATGGGTTGAGAAATCGAAGATTTTGAATCGAAAAGTTGAGAAGATTATCATAGTCATGGTTGTAAACATCGAAGGAAGTAGTGCAGTTGATGATATAATGACGATTGAGACACAACATATTAGTGATATAGGTGGTTGAAGTAATACTATTGTGCAACAGTTGTATAGTTGTTGTGTAATTGG